GTATAAGATACACATCAGCTACTACGATAACCTTCATGCGCACAGGCTGGTAATCAAGGGATTTTACAGTTTAAATGTCAAGCTCCTCCGAAGAGACAAGACGGCCCGATCTAAAGAAAGGTTCCTGAGAGTGGAAGACTATTTGTCACTTTAAGACAGAGGTGCAGATGGCATAAGTCCGGTATAATTACACTTACAGCAAATTTGCTTCCATTTCGAGCATTAGGCTTTATAATAGTGATTGCAATAAATTAGGTCAAGTGGTTAGAAATAGCTTTATCAAACAGCCCGTTGTTGCTTATCCTTCGTACCAGGATAACAGGCTAGGAAGCATGGAAGAATATTTTCTGATAAAATCACAGATGGCGGAAGGGAGACTAATTAATTACGCACCTTTGGGAAAGCTAACCATAAGCGTTGCCTTACAATTCCTCTGTTTGAAAATCCAAAATTCTTGGTGTCCGACCTATGACATTAATAACGATGAGAAAATGTGTGTCTTACTGGCTTCAAGCTACTCCTAGGGGGCCATTGAAACGATTTTCCCTGACGCTTAACGACAGACCGAATACGAGGACAGATATCAAAGAAATACGCAGGTTATTACAGCATTTAAAGGCCAGCCCAGCTAATACGGTATCATTGACCACATTTACAGTGGCAGGAATTCGTCTTTCTATCTCAGCACTGTGCGAGTTTTAGGCTTCAAGCCGTCGTTGATTACGGACTTCTTCGTGTGAAGTCAGTCAGTTGTCAGCAGTAAGAATAAGGTAGAACTTTTATACCAAATTTGCTTCTACTATTCGCGTCTGTCATTTCGTTGGACATCTTAAATTAACTATAGAGCAAATACAAAAAGAGGCTGATTGCCACGGCGTTTACAAAATATTGCACCCACGCAGGTCATCTCCACCAGAAAAGTTCAATCAAGAGCTGAATAAGTCATGGCTTTCAGTGATAATTGACTGCGAAAGCAAAATTTTCACTGCGGTTGTGTCCTTGGAGGTCAACTTAAACTTAACCAGCCGCCCTGACCGACATTCGTGTTGAAATCATGCTACACAGTGATTACCGCAAAACCAAGCGATTGGTTTCAAACCACCGTGTAATGCGCTTATTGCTCAGTCCAGTGGTCAAGTTATTAGATGTAAATCATTATAGTTCCCGTGCATCTCTCGGTTAAGGCTATCACTACTTTACGGAGCCAAACATGATGAAAGAGCTGTTGAATGTTAGTGTTACTGTAGAGCAACGCCGAACATCAGATCATGTTTTCCACGTTAGTGCTGGCCTACATGTGTTGGTTATTATTGCCCAGTTTGTTATTTGTGTAGTTGACACGATATTATGCCAAATTAAGATGCGGAAATCGCATGGCAGCGAAGAGGCGACCAGGTAAAGTTTATGTCACACAACACCTCAGATGTTCTAGATTACAACCGTTGTCCAGAATGAGGGATCATGAATTATGCAGTTAGTTTATAGAAGCAGAAATTTTGTCCAATCCTTTTCCAGCATCTTCTACACCGAACACCTGCAATATTCCACCGAGATGTAAGTTAGCTTGTTGTTGACAACCAAAGGCGATTAAACATGTTGGTACTTGTTGTCTGTCATCGTTCAATACATACGTCAACATTCTGCGTACAAGCGCATCTAAGGTTGTTGTGGCGATCATTCCACTCGCTCGCTGTAACATCGAGGGCGTATCCAACACCACTTGTTATCTCACTTCTGGCACCATTTCAGGTATTCAGCACAGAGACAGAAACTGGAGCAAACTCAGGAATTTGATATCCATCTGGTGCGCATCCGGTTTCGGTGATGTGAAGGGCCACCCGGATAGGTTTACAATTGAAATAGTTAACAGCCTGGGGAAAAATATTTCCTTGGTTTGGTGCCGCTTCATTGTGACATAACGGAAGTGTGGTGGCACTTCATGATATACCTACTAAAAAAATCGAGTCGGATCTACTTGTTGTGCTAAAAGACTGTATAAGACTTATGGGGGGTTGGTGAACTGATTGCTTTACCGAAATGCATGTAGTTTAACCACAGCACCCTATGTTACAAGCTATTGACAAGCGAGGCCCACTGACAGAAGCATCGTCCAAAGCGTCAGTTTAATTGTTTATAAAAGTAATTGAATTCGGCTGTTTTCTCCGAAGCAAAGTATTATATATAACTATTCTACAGCGTATATTATGATGTGAATATTACGATTAAATGTCATTAAATGTATATAATTATGTATATGCTTATATTTAATTGACCACTCCACTGGAAATCGTGGTTTCCTCACAGAAAAGTAGGTTGCGCATCACGGATTGATATATCTGCGTATCTTCCGCATCTTTCCAATCTGACTGCGTGTTTATATATTATATGAGTTCGACGTGACTTCCAAGAAGTCTCGAAACGCATAAAGACTCCAGTCAACAAAGATAATAAAGAATGAATCTGGATTATTCAAAGAAAACCTCATCTAAAAGTATAACCATAAACAAAGTCTTGGTTTAATTATTGTAATCAAATCAGTGTTTTACGCAGACCACAATGTGTAACCAAGAAGCAATGGAGCAATGGTTTATGAGGAGTGTAACAGCGAATGCTGGACATGTCCGTAGGACAGTTAGGCTGATAAGTTCCAACTAAAATCAGTGCCGGTAAAAGAATACATGAAATACAAGACTCATCAAACGGTTTGAAGTAACTAATGTGCGCTAATGCCAGCATCTGATAGCCATGAGGTATATCACGCAGTGTAAATGTGTCCGAGTATCGTCAAGGAGTTTTTGAAAAGTGTTAAGGTGGTGGAGGGTGTTCCATGACTGTGACACTCGGAGAGAGACAACGTTTCTTCGAACTTCCAGACGGCTGCACTGCGTAGCCTGCTTAAACTGATGACCTCTTAGAGATGTGTTTCGACTGTTTCACAAGAGAATCGCATATGTGGTTGCAGTTTCTCAGAATCTGTTACATAAGTAGGAAATTGACCCTTAGACGCCGATAAGGTCCGTTGCATATTTTGAGGGTTTACAGCTTTAGGTAGGGAATGCGGGCTAAAAGTCAGACGTACTTTGTAGCCGTGCGTTGCGCAGTATTGAACACGGTTGCCACAATCGGACAGTATAATCCGCGTACGACCTCGTGTACTCACCAACTATTTTCGGAAAGACTGAGGCGTCAAACCTCCCAAACGCTCTACAAAGAAGGCCGAAGTGTGGTTTACCTAGTTTGATGCCTTTAAAGTCTGCCTCAAACAACCGAGGTCATCTTGAACAAGCACGCGGATTTCGCACTCATGAGAAGCCCGCTGTAGTAGTTGTGGTCCTAGATGGTAGTTGTGAATACACTCATGCCGTATGTTGCTAATTTTGCATTGCTGGTGTTGCAATGCAACATGTTCTCGATAGGCCATGTGTACGCTTTATCCAGGTCATCCACTGTGGCTACAGCACGCCATATCATTAGGTCATCGGCAACTAGAAGACAGTTTAAAGATAGCATGCTCTCGAGGTCATATGTTAAGACCAGAAATAGGCGCGGTCCGAGTACCGAGCTCTGAAGTACGCCGCACTGTATATTGTTTGGTTCCGATAGGGTGCTGCGAACCCTCACATTCAGATCACGATCATAAGAGAAAATCTCTTATCCAGATAAGAACGGGATCACCCATTCTATATTTCTAGCGTTTGTGCAGTGGAAGACGATGGTTTAGACACTCAAATGCCTTTGACACAACGGTTGCTTTGTGCTGTGTAGATCTCAGGTGCTCTTGCTCGGAGAGGCTACATAGGTGAGCCATGCCAAGTCCCTCAATTCCAAGCACTTACGTTCCATGCTGCTTACGAAAGACCACCTATTTAAATCGGTGGATTTGTGTTTCAAATGTGCTTGGCAGGAGATTGTTGAATCTTTTGACGATCTCTTCGCTGGCCACGTTACGGGACCATTTGGATAGGAACGACCATCCTGTTGCATCAATGAGGTTGGACAGGTCAGCATAGTTGGTTACGACTTGAGATTCCTCGGTACGTTCTTTAGGATACTCCGCATAGAACATGTGATGGAACTCTAGTGTCGTCTGATCGTTGCACTCCCAAGGGAGTGCATGTTGTTTTGACGTCAGTCATGAGTTCCTCGTTGTTGAAAACGAGATCCAAGAAGGCTTGTTTGTTTCCTGTCCTGAAACGCTTTGAGGAAGTGACGTGGTTACATGGCGGTGAACCAGCGAGTAGGTCTTGCGATTCCGCATTTAAGTGTTCACAGATTGTAGCCGGAGTTGCTAGGTGATGCAGATTGATCCCCCTTACCACGAGAACGTAGCTGTAGGATGGTGAAAGTATGTTTTTCATGGCAGAGGATAAAGTCAGGTCCATTCATTACGTGGACATTGGTTGGCGGTAAACAATAGTCAATAAACATCTATCAAATTGTCTTAGGTGTAAGCAGCACCATTAGTTGTCCACGGTTCCAATCCTAGGTTCGTCTACTCGGTTGGTGAGTAGGTGGGAACGATAATAGAGAGTTACATCGTCTCCACTGGTTCATCGGTCATTGCGCAAATGTAACATAGCAGTTAGTGCGATTTTGGCATCGATAATCACCTCGTTAAGCTATGTCTCGATTACTATGATGCGGTTCCAACACGTTGCGGTTTGACGTGATCCAATGCTGCCAATTTACTGAGAAGCCTTTATGCGTTTGTATACAAACAACAGATCAAAGAATACCAGAAGCGTATTTGAAAGCATAAAAGATACTGGAAGAACATGCTTGTTAGAACCACACAACAAACCAACACCAGCTTCTAATGGTAAAACGCAAAACCTAGTCTACGCACTAGTAATGGTCAAAAAATGAGAGTTAAAAATGTCGCTTGAACATATGAAAACTCTCAAACAAGCAAAGAGTAGACCGTTTATCTGAAAAAATCGGCCTAATTGCGTCATGCCTATTCAAATGGAAACAACCTCTAAAGAATTTGCCATACTTACTCGGCACATACTTAATGATTTGCTGAGATTTGGTGTTTGTAAGCAGGGATCTATAGGTATCATGTATGGTGTATGCTAAGGGTTGGTTTTTGTCGACATGTCGTAAAGGTGCATCGGTTCGGATGTTATGCAAATATGCTCCAGAGAATGTACGAGAGCTCGATTTCATAAATCCAAGGATGTTGATGAATTCGGCTTGAGTGGAAAAAATTGTGCAGTTGGATCAGTTTCTTGTGAAGAACGCTGCGTGTGCACAAAGTTAATTCCTGTTCCAAACATTGACTTCCATATCTCTGGTCTAACGTCTACTTACTGCGGAGGAATTGAGGTTTCATGCATGCGTGCATCGTTTAAAATTTAGAAGGAAATCATGCAGGTGAGGGGGCACAAACCAAGCACAGTTTACATTCCAAGCAGAGGAGCTCAGCACATTCAACCGACCTCACAATCGTAGTTCAACCGATATTGCTATGGTCAATTATTGAAACTTTTATCAATATGTAATCGTTGCCGTTTGCTAGCATGGATCTGCAACCGTCATAAAAAGCTAATGTCATTTCATGATTGATTTGATAGATGTCAGTCCATCACTGCGGCTTCTAAATGTATGCTATTGTGTGTGACTGGATGGTAAACACTGCTTTTTTCTACACTTATCATCCAATACTGAGCGTAGATAAAGCACATGACGGTTGCGCTGATGGGTAAATATTTTAAGCTTCACCTGCCTTTCCAGTAGTCTCGGGCGGGTTAGTACAGATAATAAACCGAATGAAAGAACGAATGTCAAAATGGCTTTGGCCCAGATAGTCTGCTTCAATGAGCAATGATAACAATTAGTTTTTTATGTCCTGAAGAGCGCGGCAATCATGTGCTCTAGACTGCTAAAACTGTGTTCCCTAAGAAAATATAGTTAGATATTTTGCATGAAACCTAACATAAGAAAGCATATTAAACGGAGAACGTATTCATGCGTTATTAAATGCACCTACGTTCCTTTATAAAAGGAGTTTACGACTGAGTTCACAATTGTAGCACTGACTGGTTAACAACACGGCTCTGAGTAAAGCGGTTCTTGCAGTATTCTGATTTTGTGACGGGTTTACATACATCATGACATAAAAGGCATCCAAACTCATTTGACGGATATGTTAAGCAGTAATAGTCAGCTGTCGTGTAACCGGGACAATGGAAACTCATCAATGTGTAGAATGATGTCTATACGATTGAGTGAATTCAGATCAGACGATACAGGACCTGCTGTCTGGAGAATAACTGAGATGAAAACAATAAGTTTGCTACAGCAACCTGTTGCATACCATTTTTACTATTTAAAATCAAAGTACGAATATTTGGATCAACCTACACAAATTCTAGCAAACTTTGCCATAATGTTCGTCCACTTGAAAAGAGAACCACAGGCCCCTAACATTCACCGTGAACGGGAAATTATCGTCAATGAATCAGAGATCTTCATTGAATCGCACAGGTATCACACTCTCTAGAAATATGGTTATCAACTTGGAGCCAGTTGTCTCCAAATAGGGTAAAATATATATTTTTAGAGGGATAAACATATATTCGCGGATCGGCTCATCAATCTGTCGCCAAATAAAATTAAAAACTACCTCACCTTTACCTTTCTGCCTAATCCCTATTGATTAGAATTAAGTAACTAATCGATATTGAGCTGGCAGCCTAGTAGACAATGTTCAGAAATAAATTTATTGCCTAAAATACAGATACAAGCTTGCAAAGCAGCGCAGCAAGTTGGCATCTCTATCGGCTGACTAGTCTATTGATGTTCTTTTGAGTCGGATATTCGTTCGTCGGGTCTCATTACAGAGTTGAGTAAACACTAAGGTGGGAGCCTACGTTAGCCGACCAGCTAAAGGAGAGACATAAAATTTACAATATAGAAGACACAAAAGTGGCGGTTAGTGTACAAACGTACATATATAATATATATATACATATAATGACTGGTGGTCGGAAGCTATCATCCATGAAAGACTTGCAAAGGGTGGTTGGAACAAAGTAGAAGGCAGTGATATCTGTTCATTATTGGTCAGGGATCACACCAAAGCAAGGCAGCGAAGAAACCTGGAGCAGAATTTACGATGCGCGTAGGCCGAATGTACAAAAATATACCAATTGTTAGTACTAAGCAATGTTAACCATCTCATTAACTTACATCGCCTCTTGATTAATAAAACAAGCTAAATAGCTGTTTTCTTTCGATATTTCGGAAGATGCTTGAAGCCTACTAGGATCTCATGATTTCAGAAGGTTTTGATTACAATGTGTTTTTGTAGGTTTTTATTAAAGCAACGTTTCTCCATTGAAGGAAGAGCTTCTTTAGGCCAACATTTGAACTAAAATACCTTGTAGATTTTATTAACGGTGAACCCGTTTTGGGAGTAATAACCAGAAAATCTTCGTGAACCGTTGCCCTAGACTGAACGGACTGCACTGATATCATTTTCAGCCCCATATCGTCGTATACAGAGATACGTTTTCCTGGATTGATAGCTCAAAATCCGGTTGAATATGCCGTAAAGTCATCGTGCAACTTAAAGCTGTGGATGACAAACAGTTAACGCAGTTTGATGCGTAAAATTTAAGGCATAAAATAAGACATAAAATGCATAACGCAAATACATGCCGGTATTTAATTTGCAAGTACAAATGTCAGTAATTCCATTTCCTTCTAAGCTAATGCTGTCAAAACCGATATATGATGCATCAAGTACCCATTTATTTGAACCTGTGGCATCGTTCACTAGTTCTGTGAAAAAATTTGAAAATTCTAAACGCTGTGCATTTATTCAATATAACCTTGTTATGTTTGCCGAGTTAGACCTATGATACAAGGACTCAGATTTGGTTACTTACTGGCACCTGTGAAGAGGAAAAGCATGAATAATCCCACTGATTTGTCACCAAATAGATGCATATGTTGGAATCAATATTGCATTCAGGATTTTCGAGATAAGTTCTCATCGACAGTCGCGGTCTTAGAATAAAGAACGATAATCTGCACATATAAAAAGGCTGAGATTGATGGAATTGACTGCCGTCCTTGGACAACGATTCGGCCATGTCCGCCTGAAACCCTTTGGAGAAAGGAGCTAAAGGTTCGCCAGGTCAACATTTGACTCAGATGATTCTAATTTGTCCGTAACTGGCAGCGACTTATCCGACTATGTCAACTGCGGTAAGGTTTCTTGCCAATGATACAAATGAACGCCAGTAAATGTAAACCGCTTTAGCGTCCGTTTGTCGGTTCTACGTAATTGCAGTGCGACACCTCCAGATTTGGCACGCCCCAGTGAATAGGGTTGGAGACGGGCGTCCTTTCATTTACATACTTAGTTGACCTACTTGCAAATTCATCAGGTGTGTAGATGAAAGGAATGTGCTAGCCAGATTTTAGTGAGTTCAGCTTGTACACCAGACATGTTGCGAAGAATTTGAATTAAAGGATCTAGATACAATAATGAAACACACACTGACGCCCAGTAAGAGGTTATTAATATTCACTTCACATTATTCGTACACAGTTCGCGGATTTCAGGTCAAATGAAGACAACAACGGATTTATACACCTTTGTTGGGTGGATATTCAAATGTAATATATACCGTTTCTTAACCGCTTAAATCTTGGATTGGTGTATAAGTAACCTTTTAATTTCTCAGCTGAATCACAACCTAAGAGGTATTAGAAAACAGGTTTGCTTGATAGGTCCTCTCAGCCTGTATTCATTCATAGTCCTAATGTTATAGTGTCGCCGCCAATGGGCTTCATTTGTACATATGTTAGAATACCTATGGGCTTGTCGAGTGGGCAGAGACGTATACAGCATCATAACTGTCTAGTGGACCGCAAACAACATGCATTCAGTTAGGTTCGTCAGAATAGATCTGCACGTAATTTGAGAGCTACTCCAAATCAAAGTTCGAAATAGCATTTATTAACTTAGTGTCTAGAGTTCAACCGCTAGCAGCTAGTTGCGATTAGGTATCACTGGGGGCTATTTTGTCCCCACAGCGCTTTTCCCCAGGAGACTTGATGACAACATGTACCATGAATCTCACTTGATTTGGCCCACTTCCACCAGAAGACGAATTAATGTGAACCAAACAGTGTACGTACTGCCCCTCTCTGTAATTCAGCGGGGTTGAGAGCAGCAGTTGTATTCATGCGAGTACCTTGGCGAATCACCTCAAACCCGAAATTTCCCTTTGTATTGTCACAGACATGGATATTTTAATCTTTACGCTAGTCTTCATACTTGACTTTTGAACACTCGCATTTTACGCGTTTTCTATTAGAGTTCATTGTTTAGTCTCTCAGGTTCACAACCAACTATATTACAACATGGGCTCATCGGCTCCCCCCTCCTGGTCACACCAGCGCTGGCGGCTCGTTTTCACCAATCAACCGCAAATAGCTCTGTCGTGTTGAGGGGGACCATTTTGACACCAGTGGGATGATGTAGATTAATGATCCAACAGTCATTATTTGTCACTAGTGGGTATGCGGGTGTCAATTGAAGTTAAATAATGGTTGTCATCCAAGTGATCACGGATAGACAACGCTCCGCCACCGCACAAATACAAACGCATCCACTGAACGCTACGTACATATCACGCCGTCTCCACCAGCAACAGAAGCTTTGCTAAGTTCAGTAGTTCAGTAGTGTGTGGCTGGATAAACAAGCATAACGTTACAAAACCCACAGAATGGATATGCAAAAGCAAGTTAAAATTGAAATGTTCCAACGTGGAACATGAAGTATCGGTGGTTAAGTCGTTGCACTTTATTAAACTGTTGTGTAGCGATAAAAGTCTAAAAGTCTTTCAAATGTCGTCATGTCTGGTGCGTTCATCACATATCTTGGTAATGCATACCAGTGCGAACAGATTCTAAGTGAGTAAAAATACTTTCTACAACGGGAGACGATTTTGCAGTCCCGCAACCTTGGTTAATACGCTGCTCATTAGTTGATAAATCTCATTTATACCCAAACAGGAACAGGGATCGAATATTTCTAGTTAGTGAACGATGTTTGTACCTACTTAGTGCACTTATAACACTTTCTAATTTCAGATAATCAAACAGGCACTTTACTCAACCGAGAAAGCTTTGCGGTTACAGTAACTCGTTGCACCTTTGACCTAATATCAGGAAG